CATTTTCTGTTCCTGCTTTTTGTTCACGATGTTTGCCTATTTCCTGACTTTTAAAACAAAATGTTGAGTTCTCCTGCTGGAGAGGAAGGGGCACTTACTCAAGCTTCTTTTCCTGCTCACCAGGGCCTTACACATGAATGTTTGGCCCCTGCTGGCCCAGGCATTGCCCAGGGATGTTTCAGTGCTGGTGGATGTCTATCAGCCTGGAGTTCTGCCTTCTGGAGTTGTGTTGAGGCACCGGGTGATTCCACTGCTGGTGAATGCAGTCGCTCGTGGTGGTTTTCTGAGCTGGTGTCTACCAGTTCCACTTCCTGTATGGAGGCTCCTGGTGGGGGAGAGGAGGTCCTGGTGTTGGCACTTGCCCACTCCACCACCCTGGGTCTCAGGATCTCCCTCTGGTATGCTGAGGCGGGGCTTGCCACTGGCTTGCTGGGACACCTCCAGTCCTGTACTGCTCCCTCTTCTCTAGAGCACAAGGGGCCTTTCCCTTTAATCCCCCAAGCTTCCTGGGGTACAAGACTGCTGTGCCCTATCTTTTTGCTGGCTCAGAGTTTTTCCTTTGTTGATATTTTTCTGGGCTTTCAGAGGTCAATGAGGGAGGGTGAGAGGGATTACTCTGCCATATTGGCTCCCAGAAGCGGATCCACTTGAGGCAAGGTCATCTTGAGGTGAACCTGAGCAGAAAAGGTTTGGAGTAGTTTCTTTGGAAAATGTGATCTAAGTCAGGTAACACTGGTGAGATTAGAAGGGGAAATTTGTAGTGCACTCATGCCCTTCAGCATCATTTCCTCTGCTTGGGAACAGAGAAGAGGGGCAGCTGAAGGTCAAGGGGGTAAGAGCTTATGGGTTGGGAGTGAGTGCCTCGTTACAGTAGTAAACTGCAGGGTTGAGACTAAAGGGAGAGGAGGAAAGTCACTGGAACAGAGCTGATGGATGGAGAAAAGAGAGCCCCTCCTGGTCCCTGAGGCCTTCACCCCATCGTAGATGCTGTGAATCATCAATTCTTAGGTCTGGAAGGGGCTGGAAAAGGTCATCTCATCCATCTCTGAATCTCCCCCTTTCTAGGCAAGGATTCATCAAAACTGAGGATCTATTCAGTTTTTCAAAACCACCCGGAAAAAAAAGATTGCAAAGTGAGGTTTGGGGAATCAGAAAGTGAGAGACATTCTCTGAGTCTTGAGGGAATTCTGAAGACTAGGCTACGTGACTGAAGCAGCTAAGGGAGATAGGAAGCAGCCAGAATGGGAGGAGGCATCCCTGCAGAGACGGAGAGATGGGGGCTGGGAATCCCTCTCTGAGGCGGAGGATGGCGAAAGAACAAGAGTCTAAGCCTGCTGGGAAGGAGAGGACATGGAGACGGGGCTGCTGAGCTATGACCATTTGGTGGAAGTCCACCAGATGCTTAAGAGCTGTTGGCAGGGAAAGCAAGAGATTCATCGATCTAATTCTTCAGGAAAGCAGCCAGGGGAATTTCTAGGTTAATCTTAGCTTAATTTCAGTTAGGTCTTAACGCAGCTAGTCTAACTCTCATTTTACAAAGGAATAAACTGAGGCCCATTTAATTAATTAATTTTTTAAATGAAACAATTTTTTTTCAATTATTAAGAATTTGCTTTTTCTCTTTCCTATCTCCCTCATCTTTCCTAAGAAAGAAAGAAGGAAGGAAGAAAACCTTGTAGTCAAGAAGCAGAGCTGAGCACAATAAATTCTTGTACTGGCCATGTCCAAAATGGGTCTTGTTCTGCATGTTTATCTTTCATGTCTGTATCAGGAACGGTACATTCTTCATCATCTGTCCTGCAGCCCATTAGAAAACCAACCAACATTTGGCTTTTCTTCCAGCCTCTCGTGTCACTCGTGGTCCTGCTGCCTGATTCCTTTCTTGCTGTCCCGCCCCAGTCTCGTACCCATCTGCTGGAAATGAGGAGCTAGCATGCGTTGGTGTGTGTGCCGAATGGTTCCTCTTTTCCTCCTCCATTATATTCTTTCTCTTCTTGCTCAGCGCTGGGCTCCTAGCTTTTCCAGAGCCCCAGGCTGCTTTGGGAGCTGGGTATCCCCCATGAAAGGTAAGACTGAAAGGAGCACAAACTAGGAGGAAAGAAAGGAGCCACAGTGACTCGGTTTACCTTCCAAGCCAGCTGGACTTTCCTTATTGAGTGACTCCTGTGTGCCTTTAGAAGAGCCGTAAGGGGGGAAAGTCTCTGTCCTGGAGGGGTCCCTAAGTCAGCTGGCTGCTTCCTCCTTACTTCTTTAGAAGTGGTGCTGGGTTACAGGCTCATAGGTCTTGGAGTGGAAGAGACCCCAGACCACTGAGTACAACCCCTCATTTTGTAGAGGAGCAAAAGTGACTTGTCCGAGGTAGTCCAGTGGAAAGAGCCCTGGCTTCGGAGTCAGAGGACTTGTTACCTGTGTAGCCTTACCTGGACCATGAAAGGGGTTGGATTAGATAAACAAGTGTTGATTGGTTGGTTGTTTGATTGATTGAGATGGTATCAAGAGTTTCCTTCCAACTCCCTGAGTCAGTCAGTAAACATTTGTTAAGCATCTGCTGTGTGCCAGACTTGGGTTTAAATCCCCTCTCCCTATCTGTGTGACCTTGGACAAGTCACTGATATCTCTGGGTCTCAGTTTCCACATCATGAAAACGAAGGGGTTGGATAGATGGGTGCTGAGGTCCCTCTGAGCTTCACCATCCTCACACAGAAGAAAGTCAATTACTGAGCGTTTATGAAGCTCCTATGGTGTACCCTCTGCCACACTAGGCACGCCAGAGGGATATGAAGAAAGGGCAGTTTATGACTCATGCATGGTCCAGGAGCTAACGAGTCTGCCTGAAAAGACGGAGCTAACAGCCCTTGTTCTGACTTTGGGCGAGTGACCGCCTCTGCCGTTTCTCAGTTTCCTCTTCTGTAAAATGCAGGAGTTGGGATTAAAATACCAACAATCTCCCCACTTCCCTCCTCTCTCCTTTGTCATTTCTCCATCCTTCCGCCTTCCCCTCTTTGCATCTCATTTCCAAGGCTCAGCTCTGAAGCTCATCTCCTCCTGTCTCTTTGCCCCCCCCATTTGCTCTCATCCCTCTCTTGCATTTTCTGTCTTACTCTCTATCCTGGATCATTCCCCTCATGATCAGGTCTCCCAGAGAAAAGAAAAAGAGGAAAGCCATTTCTTACCTCCGAGCCCCTGGGAGCCACCCCACCCCCCTCTGCTGCTGCTTGTGCTGAATTTCTTGGAAAAGGCTGCCCATGCCGTGCTCCTCTCTTATCTCGTGCTCACTCACTGCTGCTCCGGCTCCCCCTCCTTCCATCTGACTGTCGTTGTCAGTCCTGCGACCCAGACCTGCATCGCCAGATCTGACGCCCTCTCCCCATCCCCATCCTCCTCAATCTCCCCTCAGCACATGACCAGGTCAACCTTCCCTTCTCTGAAACCCTCTCCACCGTCTCCACTCCCGAGATAAACGAGACACAGTGTTGGCAGCTAACTACGACTGCTGTGATCCGGGGGTGAACCGCTCGGTAATCCAGTTCCCTACTTGGTCAAATGGAAGGAGGGTGTTGCTTGGGCTAAAAATGACTACGAAGGTCCAAAACTGCAGTTCTGCGAGTGACCTAGCTCTTGGTGCCTCTATTTCCTTCTCTGAAGAAAGAGGCAATTATTGGTCTAGACACCTCCAAGGTCTGTTCTAAACTTGAATCTGTGATTTAGTTACTTAATCTCTCTGGGACTCAGTTTCCTTTTCTGTAGACTGAGGGGGTTGATTGGACTTGATGGTCTCCAGGTCTCTTTCGAGCCCTAAATCCCACAATATTATGATCCCATGAGCTGGAGGAATCCTACAGAATCCTTTAAGGGTGCCCGGAATGATCCAATCCAATAAGCATATATTAAGCACCTACTGTGTGCAAATTACTGCACCAGAATACAAAGACAAGATGAAAGGACTCCCTGCCCTCAAGGAACTTCTGTTTTCCTGGCTCAAAAATCGCCTCCTTCATGAAGTCTACTAGCTAGATGTCTTCCTCCTTCGGGCCTTGTGGCAGTTTGCTTGTGAGCACTAGCATACTCCTCCTTTATTGTACCCATCTGTACATAGGTCTCATCTCCCCTTCTAGACTGTAAGTTACCTGAGAGGGGACCTCCGTAGATCCCAAACTGTGCCCAGCACTGTGTCTTGCTGAATAGAGATAAGGTCAGGCCTCTGGATACTGGTGAGATTGGCCAACAATTGCTAAGGCATTGACTGTTTCTGGCGGGGACCAGGGAGGAATGGCAGAAATATGAAGTAGATCCTGCAGGCTGGACTGCATGTCCTCGAATCAGGACCTTTCTGCACCAGGGAGAGGGGAGAATGGGAGATGTGGCCCCTAGGTAGATCAGGCTCCAGCTTTCCTCTAGTCAGGCCACAAATCCACTCTCGTACCCTCTTCATGTGTACCAGGCAAACCCAAAGGAAGGCCTCCTAGCCTGGACCCATTCCTCTTGCCTTCTAGTCCTGGCCTAGTTATGGCCCTCCACTGGTTGGCCTTCAGGTAGCCCCTGGGCTCTGAGAAGCTCACCATGGCTTCCTTTCCTACTGGTTCAGGTGCCTCACCTGAGGAAATGCTTAGGGCAAAGAATGCTTCTCCACCTGCGTGCCTTTGAAGAATTACTCACACTCACTCATAAACACACACAGCCCAGCGGCCTTTCTTGTGAGATCTCTATCTGGCCATTGGCCAGAGAACAGTCATTTTGGGAGAGGAAATTCTAGAATGGAAATTCCTGTGGAAGTAGGATCAGGAAAGTATGAGTAGGATCAGGAGGCCAAGATGATCCATAGACTAATTTTCCATTCAGATAGTGAGCATTTTCATGTGGGAAGCCAAGGGCTGAATGACCAGTCATGAGGGGCAGGCAGACTTAACCATGAGTTTAATCCAGAGCCCTGGAGAGGCAGGATTGACCCTTTTTCACACCCCACCCTCCTTCATTTAAGTCTTTTTTTTCTCTCCCCCTAGATCGATAAGTATCTTTATTCCATGCGGCTCTCAGATGAAATGCTTAATGAAATCACAAAACGATTTAAGAAAGCTATGATAAATGGCCTCTCCAGAAATTATAATGTAACTGCTTCTGTGAAGATGCTGCCAACATTTGTGAGATCCATTCCTGATGGCTCAGGTAAGATGGCGGGCGTATTATGGAAGAGTGTGTCAAAGGAGCAGAAGTAGTTAACATGTAGCTGACCTTCAAAAACATCCTGGGAGGTAGCTGCGATTATTATTATTATTATTATTAATTATTATTTTACAGATGGGAAAACCAAGGCCCTGAGAGATTAACCTAGGAAGGGTCCAAAGCAGGATTCAAACCCAAGTCTTCCTGACTCTTAAGTCTAGTGTTTTAGCACATGGCCTCTACCAAAGAAGTACTTTCATTGTGGAGCTCTGGAGGACACAGTATTGGAGCCATAACTAGGAATTCTTGACTTCTGCCCCAGTCAGATCACATCTGGGGTCCTGTGTTCCGTTTTGGGGGCAACGTCTTAGGAAACACATTACAGGTGGAAATATGTCCTAAAGAGGGTGACCTGGATGGTGAAAAGGGCTTACGAAGATTAGGTTGCACAGGATTGGTTGGAAGAAGGGGGGATATGATATATGTTTTCAAAAATTAATTAATTTATTTTTAGTTTTCAACAATCACTTCCATAAGCTTTTGAGTTTTAAATTTTCTTCCCTTCGGTCCCCAAGGGGGGATATTTTGCCTGATAAATAGAAGGCTTAGGAAACTGATTGCTGCCCTCAGGGCTCAGCATGAGAAGGCAGAACTAGAAAACAGTGAGAGTTATCAGAGAAGCAGGTATGTCTGGCTAATAAAAAGAAAAGCTTTGTAATAAAGGTATCCCCAGAGATTGTGCCCTGCCTCTTGGGGGAGGTCATTGACCAAAGGCTGCATGACCTCCATATTGGATATTGCAGAGGGAAATCTTCAGGTATAGGTTGGGCTAGCTGACCTCTGAGGTCCTGGCCTCTCTGGGATTCTAGATAGACCTGGGGCAAAAAGCAGTTGAGCAAGGTGGGGATTGGTGATGGTTACAGAAGTATATAGTCTCATTTCAGACAGTTGTGCCTAGGGGGGAGGGTAGTCCTTAGGAGAGGAATGCCACAGTGATCACAGACCCTGGGGATATTGGCCCGAGGTCAAGGGAAGATAACTGGATCTTGGCCAAGCTAGAGGAGAATTGGGAGGTCCGTCCTGGTCACCCACTTTAGGACATGCCTCACTCTGTAATGTCTTCCTAACATGTGGCCCCCAGAACAGAACACAGGACTCCAGGTGTGATCTGACCGAGGCAGATGCCAAGAATTCCTAGTTATGGCTCTGATCCTGTATCCTCTAGGGTTCCACAGTCCAGGGATGGCAGCCTGCCATCCGTGGCAGGATGGAAGAAAGTATGCCCCATCAGATATTAGTGCTCTGGAGCAAAGCTCTGATTGCCCTGCCTTAGTTACAGCTTTGAATCATATTGTTGATATCCTCGAGAGCTTTTTAGAGAGTAATTTTTTCAGCTTTCTAGGACCTCTTTATAGTGTACCAAATAAAAAATATTTCACCTTTACTCAGCCCTTTGATGTTTCAAAAAATACTTTCCTTCAAGAAAACCTGATAGAAAAAATATATCACATTTACTCAGGGCTTTAAGGTATTCACAAAGCACTTTTCTCTAAGCAATCCTGAGGGAGACAGTGTAAGCATTATTATTCCCATTTTCTAGGTGAGAAGACAGAGGCTTACACAGGGACAATGACCTCTACTCAAAGCTACTTAGCTAGTAAATGGGACTCTAGGCCTGGCCTCCTGATGCTGAGTCCAGGCTGCCCGGCCCCAACCACCAATCTCCATTTGACAGAGTGGAAAACTGAGGTTTAGAGCCTTGGCCAGGCTTACACATTTAGTAAGCGTCAGACCTGGGGCTTGAACCTGGGCCCTCTGCCTTTTAACCTCATGATTTTTCCACTCTGCTGCACTGCTTTTCGAAGTAATCATCGTCTTTCCTGGGCCTGAAGAAGCCTTGCCTCTCCTGAGGCAGATTACTTCCCTTTTCCCAGGTGGGGGCTTTAAAATTATTTTCCCCCATCAACGAATCATTAAAAAAATGACAAACATTTCAAGATACGAAGAAGGGCAAAAGAGCTTATTGTGTGTGAAAGGGTTTACTTCTCTTTTTTTTCCAAGTGTCTATTGAATAATTTAACTGGGTAGTAACAAGATGGCCTTTGAGGCTTCTTTGCTTCACATCTTTGGATTCTTACCATGTTTTATTGGTTGTTCCTTTTTTGCTTTTGTTACTACCCACTGCATGCCCCATGCCCCCACCACAGACAATTCACCCCATGCACGACTGTGTCTGAGAAGGTAAGTCTGCCCAGGGGCAGGAACCTGCTGGAGTCACTGTACTGAACGAAGCTCTTTCAGGTTTTCTTCTGCAGTATTGTAGAATAGCGCAGGCACGGTTCTGAAGGCTGTGCTCACTTCTCTCTGCGTCAGTTCATATGGGTCTTCCCGGGTGGGGACCTCAGGCTTCCATGGGATCTGCTCAGTATGGAGGAATAAGATCCCCTGAAGTCAGGGAAAAAAGAATGGGTTGTGAGATGGTAGATCTGGAGCAGAGAGGCCAAGAATCCAAGGTCCCAGGGAGGTCATGACTTGCCCAGAGTCTGATACCATGAGAGGCAGGATTTGAACCCACCTCCCAGTGCCTCACCTGGTCCCTGTAGGACCATACCATACAGAGTTTATGAGAATCAAATGAGATAACCTATGTAAAGAGCATTGTAAACCTTAAAGCACTCTATAAACATCAGTTATTATTATTATTATTATTATTATTATTACTGTTTTGTCATTCAAAAGCCTGAGCAGACATTTCCCTGGCCCTGTATCTGAGAAGGGAATTTCTCCACATTTTGTTTCAGTTGTTACTTGGGTGCTTAGGGATTAACACCAATTCTGTTGGTGGGGTGAACTCCCGAGAGTCCCAGGCCTGCTCTCCCATGGCCTGACCTGTCTGGGAATCTGCCCTGCCTCTTTGATGGAGGGCGTCCTGTCCTGTAATGAGGAGCCTGCAGGCTCCAGCCCCACGTGGGCAGCCTCGGGCCATTCTCTGCCTCAGGAGCTGCTGAGATGGCTAGGCAGATCCTGGGAAGGGCCCCCCCCCCACCCCGCGAGGTTCCTTGGGGATGTCCTTTGCGTTTTCATGCCCATCTGCCCCTGGTTTCCCTCTCCCTCCCCGGGGGGCTTCTGGCTTTGAAGGGGTAAGATGCTCAGGATGTCAGGATGGATGTCAGGAGGAGCCAGGCAGCAGCTGCCTTAGTGCCCGAGGCACCAGACGGTGGGACCTGGGAGCCTTCTGGGCCTTCCTCTTCTGACCACAGCCTGCTTTTAGCCTGAGTGCTGTGAGTCACCCACCAGAGCCGGATGAGGGGGTTATAGCCTCTCTGTTTACTCCTCTGCCTGAGTCATGGGCGGTGTTTGTGTCTGGGGCACAAATTGGAATTTTCATCCCTGGCATTACTGTGGCAGCTTCCGTATTGACCCAGGGCAGTCCAACAACCAGCCATTCCTGTGGGAGGCAGCTTGGTACCGTGGATCCAAACCCCAGCCCTGCCATGGGCTGCTTGGGAGGCCTCAGGCTGCCTCAGTTTCCTTATTTGGCAGTCCCATCCAGGATTGGCGATCCTAGGAAATCCTCCACATGCTGAGTACTGGGCTGGGTGGGCTAGCTCTCATGCTTTCCCTTCTGAAGGAGATGTGTAGACCGAGGCTACACTGATGATTACGGAGAGGGAGGGCACTGGGAATTGGGAGGGGTAGGGGAATCAGGAATGGCTGCCTGTAGGGGATGACGCATGAATTAAGCCCCAATGAAAGCCAGGGAGTCTGAAAGACTTGGTATTGAGTCCCAGAGAGCCAGGAGTGCAGCCTGGATGGGTCAAGAGCCCTTTTGTAAAAAAAAGCATTTTATTTGAAGGGTCCTGGAACCTTTATCCCTACGGGACTAGCCCTTTTCTAGGGGAGGGAGGAGAGGCAGCTGAGGTGGGTGTGATCGGCCCTAACCAAAGTCACCTGATCTCCACTTAGTAAAAGCAGAGAGGGAAAAATGATACCTCCCCAAGGTCACCTGTGGCTCTGCTTTCCCCCTACTGATTCAGGATATCAGAGTCTTTTCAGCTGTGGCTCCAGCAGGTGCAGCCTGGGCAGGGGGCTTTGTCCCAGTTGAGGAGCACCTGTCTTTACCCTCAGGAATCAGCTGTTCCCTTTCCCCCGCCTCCCCACCTCCTTTGCTAATCAGAGGGTTCTAACCTAGAAGGCCCCTGGTCCCTGGAGGCAAGCACACTGGAGCTTGGAGGCAGGAGGAGGGGTCACTATTCTAGTCTGGAAACAGTCGCTGAAGGCTGCAATGTCATTCCAGGTGTCAGCAGCTGGGAGGAGAGAAAGGGGGGTGGTAGTTTTTATAAAAATAAGTTTTTATTAATACTTTCCATTTCTTACATCACTATGTAAGTTCATCCCTCCTTTCCCAGAGGGCCATCCCATAGGACAAATCAGATGCTCCTGTTCTTCTTCCAAAATATTAATCACAGCTCCAAGCAGAGTAATTAGTCACCAACGGAATTGGTCTTAATCCCGAAGCACCCAAGTAACCATTGAAACTAAATGCGGAGAAATTCCCTTCTCAGATAGAGGGCCAGGGAAATGTCTGCTCAGGCTTTTGAATGACAAAAACAGTAGTAATAATAATAATAACTGATGTTTATAGAGCACTTTTTTAAGGTTTACAATGCTCTTTACATATTTTCTCATTTGATTCTTATAAACTCTGTATGGTAAGTACTGCAGGTGTTACTATCCCCATTTTACAGATCTGGAAACTGAGGCTTGGAGATAAAATGATTTGCCCAGGCCTTAGGGTCACATAGCTGGTCTGTGTGGGAGTCAGGAATAAGCCCAGGTCTCTCCTGACTCTTGAGTCCTGGGGTCTTTCTTAAATATCTACTATGAGCCCGGCACTGTGCTAAATGCTGTGAGAATTATTGTCCATGCAGAAAGCTTTTCAATTACATGTAGATTTGCCTAGATTATTGCAATGGCCTCCCAATTAAATGAGTCACTCTGCCTTAATTTTTTCCCTATCTCAATCCAGCATACATTCTGCTGGCAAAATGATGCCCCTTAAGTTTGGATTTGACCATGTGACTCCCATGCTCAACCAGTCCAGGGAAGAGTGCCCGAGATGTAGAAAAGGTGCCAGTCTGCGTTGATAGAGGGAGGGCCAGTCTCCTTGTCCCCATCCCCTTTCCTCACCACTGGAAGTCTTGTAGTGGAGACCAAGTGGTCGTTTGTTGGAGATATTGTAGGGGAGAGGGCAACTCAGGTACAGGCAGGGCTAGCTGATGTCCAAAGTCCCTTCCAACTCTGATATTCTGGGAGTTTGAGGTGTTGTCAAGAGCTCTAGATGGAGGTGTTCAGGGGACAAGTGGAAATAATAATAACTGGCATTTATAGAGCACTTTTAGGTTTGCACAGTGCTTTAATCATCTCATTTGAGCCTTGTAACAGCCCTGCCAGGTAGATGCTACAGGCCCTCTTGTCCCCATCTTAGAGATGAAGAAACTGAGACTCGTAGAGGTTAAATTCCTTGCCCATTGCCACACAAATAATAAAGGTCAGAAATGGAATTCCAACTCACTCATATTGACTTGGAGTCTAGAACCCTAACCACTGGACCATGCTGCCTCCCAAAATGGGGCTGTAATTTAGGGAAAAGAACCGGAGATAGAGATAGAAAGGATTCCTTGAAAAACACATACAAGAATCACACAGGATGAGAAGGCATAGAGGGGCAGCAATCAGCGCCAGCGAAGGTAGTAAATAAAACCACTCCTCTTTGGAGGTATCCAGCTAAAGTAGTTGTAGAGGGCCTTGATGTCTTAGGAGCAGTTTGTCTGATGGTCAGCAATGACTTGCAGAAGACAGGGACGCATCCGTTCCTTTAGGGAGCTAATCAGGAGGTGAGCTGTAGTGAGCGTTCTGGCTTCCAAGGCAAGGAGCTGAATTTCTAAGCAGAGCGAAGGTAGGCATTTCAGAAAGGTGACATTTGTTTGCGCTGTATTTCAGGGCCGACTCCCACTTGAAAGAGACATCTGTCCCAATGTTTGTTTTCCATTATGCTCTGCCTGCATGGCTGTCATTAAAAAGTGGAGAGTTGCTAGTGGCCCTTCAGATGGTTTATTTAATAAATGCTCTTGTGAAAGTCACTCTGGCTTCAAGGCTAATGGGAAGTGCTGGAAAAGTAACCCAAAGTGGGTAAATCTTCAAGGGACTCTAGAGTCCATTGGTAGGGAATATCCTAACTCATGACCAGAGTCAATGACCTCTGCCTCCCACGCCCAGGTTTCTAGGTTTCCATGCCAAAAGAAAGAGGCTTAATATGGAAATAAGTTTACATGATTGCACATATATAACCTACATCAAATTACTTAACTGTTTTAGGGAGGGAATTGGAACTCAATTTTTAAAAAAGGGATGTTAAAAATTGTCTTTACGTGTAATTAGAAAAAATACTATCAAACAAAAGAGAGAGTCTCTAGGGATGAAACTACCTTTAGAACTGAAAGAGATCTTTGAAGTTACTGAGTCCAATACCCTCATTTTACAAATGAGGTAACTGAGGCTCAGAAACATTAAGTGACTTGCAGAGGGTCTCATGACCAGTAGGAACTCAGGTGTTTGTAACTCCCAGCCCAATATCCCTAGCTGCCTCCTTCCAGGGGTTCCTGGTGGTCAGGATGCTCTGAGATAGAAAGGAAACCTTAGGAAGATTCCAAGATGGTAGTTGTGTTAAATGAAATTGGAAGATTCTTCAAAAGCTGTACCTAATCTTTTTCATTCATTTATTTTACTCAATCTAATTAAAAAAAAAAACAACAACATGAAAATATCTACTATAAACAGGGCAGTATTCTTGGAGCTGGGGCTGTAATGGTGATTAACAAGGAACTGTATGCTAGACAAGGGAAGGGGCACTGTAATGTATACATAGATAAGTAAATGCAGGATAATTTGACGACTAGAGTGCCGCAATGGGAGGTATTTATTTAGTTTCAGTTTTATTCACTCAATACAATGGATCTCAAATTGACTAGCTACAGTGACCATGGAGAAGTCTCTCACCTCTCTGTGTCATGGACAACTAAGATTGTAAATTATAGAAGATTAGCCTATCTGTATTCATGGAAGGAGTTTTCACACCAGGGATTAATTTCCCACATTGGTTTAATCATAGGTCTAGACAAAAAAAAATGTATGAAGTGCTATTTTCATAACTCCATAAAATATGCAAACGTTGTTTTGCTAATGGGAATTATTTTCCCTAATATTTTGAAGCTTATTATGTTTCAGGCACTGTGCTAAGTGCTGGGGATACAAAGAGAGACAAAAACACCCATGGCCTTCCATAAAGTATCTAATCCAATCCAGCAAGGATTGCTATGTGCTAGGCAATGGAGATATTTAAAAAAACAAACCCTACCATTAAGGAGTTACCATATTACTATGGGGATATGTTGTTATTTGGGAAGGGAGAATTCCAACAACTGGGGGCAGGAGGAAAGGCTCTCCATATTCAACTATAAAATGAAGGTGGGGCACTAGATAAACTAGCTGGAAGGCCCATTGCATTGATAAACCTATGGGTGTGTGTGTGTGTGTGTGTGTGTGTGTGTGTGTGTGTGTGTGTGTGTGTG